TCTGCAATAAGTGGTTGTAAGTACACATCTATATCATTTCTGGAGATGAAGGACCTGGAATGATCATTGACAACATGATATATTCTGGCTTCATGCAAATCCATGGTGATAAATTATAGTTCATTAACATGACATGCCACGTGCTATGAGATATGCTCATGGTTCGAAATGGGTTGAAACCATCACTTGAAAGACCCAACCTAACATTACGTGGATCTTTGGAGAAGTTAGGATGTAGAGAATCGAAATCCTTCCAAGCTTCTCCACCAGTAGGATGCCTCATATTCCCATCATTAGGTCGTTCATTAGCATGCCATCTCATTGCAATAGTTGTTTCAGGACACATGAATATCCTCTGAAGCCTAGGCTTCAAGGGAAAGTACCTTAAACCTTTGCAGGAACTTTAGAACTTGTATTAGTCAAGGCACAATTAGAACTTTTCCATCTAGAAGATCCACAAACGGAGCAATTATCAGCCTTTGCATTGTTATTCCAAAATAGCATGCAATCATTAGGGCATGCATGTATTTTTTCATAATGAAGACCGAAATCTTTTATCATATTTTTAGCATTGTTGAAAGACTCTGTCAGCTTAGCAAAAGGAAATGCCTCTTTTAACAACTCTAACAAGTCTGAAAAGGCTACATTACTCAACCCATGCAAAGACTTAAACAAGTACAGCCGGATGGTGAAACTCAATTTACTAAAGTTTTCACACCCGGGATATAACTCTTGTTTCCCTTCCTCTAATAATTTAAAAAATTTCTTAGCATCTTCAGATAGAGCCTCTCTCATCCCTTCTTCTTGTACCAGCTCACCTTCTACATTTCTGAATGTATCATGAAGTAATCCATCAATATCATCACGCATGTTAGAACCTTCATCATTATTGCTTTGATGAGGTGTAATTCTAGAGGAAAATCCTTCACCATGGAAAACCCATTCGGTGTAACCATCAACAAAGCCATTAACTACCAAGTGATCCTCCACCACATTACTATAATGCCAATAGCGATTAATGCACTTTTGGCAAGGGCATAATATTTCATTTCCTTGGGAAGCTCGTTCAAATGCCTTATCAAGGAAATCATTCGCTCCAAGTATATACTCATCCGTCCATCTTAGGAGATGTATCCAACTTTTATCAACACTATCCATGAAAATCCTATACGACAAAAGTAATCAACAAAATTAATTCAATAAACCAAGATACATACTAATTTGACATGACCAAAACTTAAAGGGGATGAAGTCAAAGAGTTACAAATAGTAAAGCAATTTTTGCATTGAGAAAGAATTATAAAATCATTAGAGAAGAGATCTGTTCTTAGTGTCAACGAAAGTTCAACATTACTTGGAAAGTTGATGAGTTGATGTTGGATATAATAAGAATGAAAGTAGTTTATGGTTAACATTTATAGTTGTGTAGTGAATCAAAGAAATCAAGCATGCTATTCTCATCTCTAAGACTCTAACATCCTCTAGGTTGCACCCAAAAGCCATACGCACGAGTATTTCATTTTTTGTACAAGTTGGTGCTAGTACATCGTCCATCTATATTTCTCATATTCCATCAGTAGCTCTTTAATAGACTCCCATTAGGAGCAGAAGTCAGGCATTACCCCAATTTAAGCGAATGGTATTCATTCCGTACGAACAAATGCGGATCTCATTTCACAAGCGTGTGTTTCGCGGTGCCACTTCTGTTATTCCCTAACTCTTGTGTTTGTTCATTTACCAATGAAAATTGAAAAGAAAAGAGTTGTCAGCTTCCTGTCCAGGTTTTTCTTCTTTACACTAAGAAGTTTAAGCTTAATAGAGCTTTGACTTAGCTTCACAAAGATTCAATTAAATAAGACAAAGAAAAGACTAGCGACCAAATCACTATTATCTCATGAAAAAGTTATCTAGACTGCTAGCATTATACGAGGTAGTGAGGTCAGAAACGACCAATAATCATTCGTCATGTAGAATATTTGATTCTTGTTTCTAGCTCTCAATAAGCATTATTTGATTCGTCAAGGAATTAACAGAGGTGGTGTATTTTTCGTCAAAGAAGCTGACAGATATGGGGTTTCAATTCAAGTACACTTTGGAAGATATGTTAAAGGGACCATTGAGATTGTCGAAAGAAGCATTTGCTTCCCTTTTGTACCCGAATCACTACTGATAATGGACGTGACAAAGAAGCCAGAAAGCAGTGAACTATGTAGAGTAAAGTTTCAGCTTTAGAAAAGCAGGCAATGTCTACTGATGACAAAAAAGAAAAGTACAATAAAGTATTGGGACTTTAAGACTAAGTGATAACCTTGCTATAAGTGATCTGACCTAAACTTTGAACGCCAGAAATTCCAGAATCTCCACCAGCAGAATTCTAGGAACACAAAAAGAAAGATGAAAAAAATATTTTACTTACTATCTTCCCATTCTTAAGAACAAGTAAATACAACAATTACCAAAGAAGGAAACAGAAGCATTATCATTCATAATCTAAATACTGAGTAAATCAAAGGCACGCAAGAGAACATACTGCCCAAGTGAAAAGAAATAGGAACAATTAAAGGAAAAATAATTCTACCAACAATTGATATATCCATCGATTTTTATTTTTTTATTTATTTATTTATCTATTTTGCAAACCCTACTTCTCTAGGTTTTACAGCTATTAGGAGTACAATCCAAACAAAACAAAAACCTAACCCTTAAACATTAAGGGTCAAAACCAAAATCAGGAAATAATGAACCAAGCTTCTGAATCAACTATGGATTTCTGAAGGTCTTGGTTTTAAATTTACTGGTGATGATTCTGCTGCTAAACAAGCTTCTGAATCAACTATGGATGCTGCTAAAAATGCCAAAGACAAGATTACTGACACTGCTACAGGTTACTTATTGTCGCTTATACTATTCTTTTAATGTACTTTAGTTTATATAGATTCGTGTTCGTGGTCAAACCCATGACAAGATTATACAAATAGTTCATCACTATTTGTATCCACTGACTTCAAATTTTAATTAAGCACCTATATATCACTTGAAATATTAGTATGGATGCTGCTAAAAATGTGACCTAAAGTCGTGACCTAAAAATGTGACCTATATATCAACAAACAGAAGAGAGACCTAACTTCCTCTTAATACCCAGAAGTATGAATCATAGCTACTTTCGGCTCGAACTACATATACACATAGAAAAAGGCATTTTGTCGCAGAAATTAACTTCCTTCAAAATACTAAAACGAAAATTTTCATTTTGATGAAGTCCAAACTAAGCAAAACATTTCGACTCTAACCAATGTAACAGAGGAAAGGAGCAAGAAATAAAATTCCATCTGACCAACAATCGCGGCAAATAGCTGAGATTAACATACCTCTCAGGATAATCAGAAACATGCACCAACAATCGCCCTTTTTAAAAAACCTCTACAATCAAGAATCGCGCTTGTTTCACGAAAACCTAGCTTTGTTCTTCTCTGTTGTCTTTGTATTTTCTTCTTCTTGATCTCTGGTTTATCAAATTGCTCTATTCGTTGAGTTTGTTTTTTGGAGTGTGGTTTATCTGAAGATCTTACACATCCGTTTGGACAGCTTCTCCGATTCGAGCATAATTTTGATTTTGGAATTTGGGGATTTAGGGAATTTTCTTCTATCCTTGAGATGAATCTATAAGGAGAATGAAATACATTAGAAGTAGAGAGGATTTTGAGATGAATCTATTTCTGGATTTTAGGATTGAAGAGAGGATTATTTCTGGATTTTAGGAGTGAAGAGAGAATTTTAAGGGAATAAAGCTTTGAGAGAGAAAAGAAGGAGATGGGTCGTTAATTCCTGACGGTGGGTGGGTTTGCTGGGAAAAGGGGTTTTAACTTTTACATAATTAAAATTAATCAAAAATATTTAAAATATGGGGTTCATTTGGCGGGTTACCAAAATTTTGGGGGGGGGGGGGGAATGTAGAGGGAATAAAAACCGTTCCAATAAAATAAAAAATTCCCAGACCCGTTCCGTATATCAGTCTATTGGAACGGTTTCAGGACCGTTGCGGAAAATTATTCTATGGCAACGGTTCCACAACAATTGGAAAGGTTTGATAGTCATAGTGTGGCGATATCACCCAAGTGCTATGGTAACGGTTGTAACTGTTACTATAACATATCTATCGCAACGGTTAGTGAACCGTTGCTAAGAAACTGTTGCCATAGGTCCATTTTCTAGTAGTGACTAGAGAGTTTACATAGCATGGTGGTAATACAAAAACATGCTTCCCTTTCTGCGTTGCCTTTTTTGCCAAGTGATGTGCAATACTATTCCCTTGCCTGAAGGTGTGCTGGAGGATCACCTTCTGCGGGTGCATGAACAACCTGCATTTGTCAATAATATTGTTATATAATTTGTTCGCTTGTTGTATTGAAT